GTTGTGTCACAATAAAAGTCTGTGGTGTGAGGATATAATTGCAGGATAAAAGCTGTTGGAAGTTCTAGGAACCATCTCAGGGAATTATGAAATCTACCACTGTGGAGATCTGATTACCACATAAATTTGTTTTATTTTTCCAATTCATTGACCACAGAAGTGACTAATTGTTCCTTTGTGGGTCTGTGTGTGGGGGGGTGCACGCTTGTGTTTGTGTGTGAGCTTGAACTCAGGGCCTCGTGCCCTCCCTTGGCTGTTTTCACTCAAAGCTGGCACTCTTAACACTTGAGCCACAGTTCTTCTTTCAGTGTTTGGTGGTTAATTGGTGATAAGAGTCTCCTGGACTTGCCGGGCGCTGGTGGCTCACGTCTGTAATCCTAGCTACTCAGGAGGCTGAGATCTGAGGATCGTGGTTCAAAGCCAGCCCGGGCAGGAGAGACCGTGAGACTCCTATCTCCAATAAAACCACCAGAAAACCGGAAGTGGTGCTGTAGCTCAAGTGGTAGAGCGCTCGCCTTGAGCTGAAGAGCTGAGGGACAGCACCCAGGCCCAGAGTTCAAGCCCTACCGCCGACAAAAAAAAAAAAAAAAAGAGTCTCCTGGACTTTACTGCGGGGGCTGGTCACGGAATGGGGGATCCTCAGATGGCAGGGTTTTGAGTAGCTAGGGTAATAGGCATGAACCATCAACTCCTGGCAACAATGTATCCTTAATTGGCTTATTTTTCTTCCCTTTCTCACCTTTCCACTCTCTTTCCAATATTTCTTTAGGTAATCTCTGAAATAAACTCTTTTCAGATAAAGAATGTCCTGTGGTACCTGACCAAAGGCATAAGGGAAGAGAAAGGAAGAAAAAGAAGGCTGGAAATGTGGAGTCAGAGGCTAGCCCCTAGAAAGTTGCCATCAAACATGCAAATTAGTAAGCAGGGGACTCAATTATCATCCACATCTGACACAAATAGTTCTTCCCTGAGTGAATTTACACAACAATGTAACACATACAGTTACACATGAATCATCTGTTTTTCCTTTGGGACAGAATCACAGGAAATGGATTCTAGCGGAATTTCTAGAGTTACAGGACACAAGCTGACAGCAGTCCCACAAAAGCCCAAAGTACAAGGTTACATGTTTGATCATGTAATAATATTGGAATGTATTCTTTTTCTTAAACTCCCCCCCTCAACGATGAGACACCCAATAGGTGATTGTCAGGTCCCCCAAAGGCAGACCTATCCCTGACTAAATCATGTGGCATTTCTGAGCTCTTCCCTAGAAGTTACAAGCCATCTCTCTTTCCTTCCAGCCATTTCAAAATGGTGGTATTTCTCTTCATTTTTGTTGTTGTTGTTGTTGTTGGGGCAGGGAAGGGGAGGTCACAATCTCTTATTTAATCCTAGCCAACTTTTCTTCTTATGTATTAAATTCTTGTTAAGTCAGCAGCAGCATTTTTTGGCGGGGGGCAATGGCTGGCAGACAAAAGGCTTGTAAGAATATTAAATCTGATCTAATTAAAAACTCCAATATGACCAATTGTTCACTCTGTTCTTTACTAAGGAGGAGAAGCCTATAAAAGAAATTAGCCGGATAATTCCTTTCTCATTTCCAATACTCAGCTCTGAATTTTCTCAGCCATTTTATTGTTAATAAAAAGAAAATTCTGGTAAGCCTGAAAACTTTTTGCTTATTGAAAGAGAAATCAGCAAACGTAGGGTGTGTTGCACAATGTAACATGGATTTTTCAAGGTAGTGGTGGGGGAAAGCAGCAAACATAATCACACAGCTAGCATGTGACCGACGAGCTGGGCCTTCACAGATGGTTTCTAGCCTAATTTTCTGGGTTATTCTGGGATAGATGATGATCTAAATTGAAGTATGTCTCTTTCAACTTCGATCTTTATTAATCCCATCTTCCCTTTTCCTACCCCCATTGATACCCACTTTAAGGTGTTTATGACTTTAAATATGCAGGCTTTTTTGTAAAACATGCAACTTTGTTTTGTATGGTACATATATTTAATTTATTGGAAAGACACATTCCCTATTTATCTCACGCAAGTCTATTTTTGAGCTTGCTTGTTTGCTCTCTTTCTTGCCTCTCTTTTTCTTTGCTTGCCTGCCTGCCTTCCTTCTTTCTTCCTTCCTTTCCTTTTTCTTTCAGAATTGGGAGTTGAGCTAACGGCCTTAAGTTTGCAAGGCAAGCACTCTAGCATTTAAACGATCCTTTCTATCCCTTTTATTTATATTTTGTTTTCAAGATAGGGTCTCACTAACTTTGCTCAGGCTGACCTCAAACTGGCAATCCTCCTGCCTTCCAGCTCCCTAGTAACTGAGACTACAGATAGATTTTGAGCCTTATTGCTATTAAATATATGAATCCTTTTTATAGCACTGTACAGATGTTAGAAATATCTTCTCTTGTTCTGTTAGCTATCACTAACTTGGCTTGCTGAAAGAAATGAAGTTCTATATAATCAAATCTATGACTTATGGATTTGTTTGCATACAGTTTATACACTTTCAGCCTTGTGGGGAAAAAAAAATCTCTTCACACCAAAACCTCAAAGAGGGACTTCTAACTTGTCTATTCAGTTCTACGAGTTCATTTACCTTTACCTACTTTAGTATATCACAGAACCAAAATTCAAACTGTGTGGAAAGTGAATAGGATGTTAATAAGTAACTCTTGGGTTAAAAACAACAACAAAATCATAAGACAAATATTCAGTGCCCAGCAGCAATCCTACCTCAGGACTCTTACTAGCCCATGTTGCATCTCTGAATCAGTAAGAGACACCTTTTCTGGGGGATAGCTCAAGGGCCTAAAAGGAATGTGCAAGGAAACAGGATGTTTTGGGCAGGCTTTTGTAGCACATCCTGCTTACTCAAGAGGCAGAGATAAGATGACTGAGGTAATTAGTTGTTAACACGGAGTAGTGCATCTAGATTCGCTGAACACCTCTGATAAACATCAGCACAGTAATAGTATCAGACTCTTACCCCACTCTTACCAACAAATAGGTTATCCAGACAGCAACAAAGCCACCAAGAAATGTGAGAATTAGTGACACCACAGACCAAATGAACTTAACTGAGTACGTCATCTGCACAATATACATTGTTCTCAGCAACCCAAGGAACTTTTCCTCCAATTAAGACAATATTTTAGGACTTAAAGCAAGTCTTAGTAAATGTAAGAAAAGGTCCTGGAGTATTATACAAATGAAACCAATGGGGGCTGGGAAGGTGGCTCAGTGGTAGAGTGCTTGCCTTGCATGCATGAGGCCCTGGGTTCCATTCCTCAGCACCACATAAGGAGAAAAAAAAAAGCCGGAAGTGGCACTGTGGCTTAAGTGGTAGAGTGCTAGCCTTGAGCTGAAGAGCTGAGGGACAGCGCCCAGGCCCAGAGTTCAGGCCCCACGACCAGACCCCCCCCCAAAAAAAATGAAACCAATGGTCCAATACCTGAGTTCAAACCCTGGTACTCGCAAAGAGAAAAACAAAGACAAAAATAAAAACAAAAATCTCAAACAAAGGAAGAACTCTTAAATCCTCATTATAAACAATCTATTGTTCTGTGATGTTATAAAGATGGCAATGTCTACAGCACTAGCCACTAATGGCTTGGAAATTGCTTATCCAGAATTATTTAAGTGTTGAATATAGTTACTGTCCTACTCCTAACTCCCAAAGCTTTAAGCTTTGTTTTATCCTGGTTGCAAAGTTAAAGTAGTCAGGCACCAGTGGTCATTCCTGTAATCCTAATTACTTTGGAAGCTAAGAAGGGGAGAATTGCAGTTGAAGGACAGACAGGGCCAGACACAAGCATTTGGGAGACCCCTTTTTAACCCAGAGCTAGACTCGGTGGTACATCCCTTGTTATCTCAAGCTACACATGAGGCTGAGATGAGATGAGAGGATCACAATTCCAAATCAGCTCAGGTAGAAAAATCTGTGATTCTAAGCTGGACATGATGGAGCATAACTGTGATGCCAACAGCGGGAAGATAAAAATAGGCAGATGGATTTAGACATGTGCTCTGGCAGGAAGCAACACCTCATTTCAAAAATAACCAGCAAAAAGCAGGGCTGGAGGCATGATTCAGTGGTAAGAGTGCCTGCCTAGCAAACATGAGGCTGTGAGCTCAAACCTAGGCAGAGTGCACACCTTTAATCCTAGCAGCTCAGAAGGCTGAGATCTGAAGATCATGGTTCAAAACCAGCCAAGACAGAAAAGACATCTATCTCCAATTAACTACCAAAAATGCCAGAAATGGAGCAGTGGCTCGAGTAGTAGAGTAGTACCCTTGAGCAAAAGCAGCTCAGGGACAGTGCCCAGGCCAAGTTCAAGCCCTAGGACTCTCTCTCCCTAGGACTCTTTCTCTCTCACACACATACACACACAATCACACAATGTATAATTTGTTACTGTAGCAATACCAGGAAGTGGATATTTGTGGAAAAACTCTGTATGCATGCATAGAACTGCTCTAGTAAAACTCTATTAATAAGGCATGCTAATTAAAAATACGGCCTTATACTGGTTCCTAGCATGGTGGAAATCAGAGGGATGAAAGGCATGTGTGGAGGAGGTACCCCCAGACCCTGTAACAAGCTCTCTTGAGGCAACTAGGCCAATCCTTTTCCTATACATTGTCACACAAGAACACTATCAATCTATTCGTGGCCCAGCCTCTATTGAGGAGTCCAGGTTCCCACACACGAATTCCTGCAGGACACACTCACACGAGGGGCTGCACGGGACTGCTTTATGGGTTCAGCTTAGGTACATTCCTCCTGGCAGGTACCAGAAAACCAGAATCATAGCTTTAGGGGGACTAATTAATTCCTTTATGGCACCTTCAGTTAGATCTGCTTTGCTTCCTATCAATGACTGCCCATCAGTGTGGCTAACTTGAACATTTCTAAGCAGTGTCTTTTACACGGCTCGTTTTTTTTTTCTGGTGACCACTGCCTATATAATGAATCGCATGACTGCATGTAATATTCTGATGGTTTTATTAACAAGTATATAATACATATATTGCATACTGTATATAGTATATGAGGACTGTACAGTACAAATTTATGTTCACAGTTTGACATGACAAAATGTCATTACTGAATTCCCATTGGACTACAGAGTAGAAACAGCGAAGGTACATTAAACATTCACATCTTTAGTAAGAAAGATTACCAAAATGTTTCAGTATTTGCAAGTATACTAATGCATGCGAAAAACCTTTACCCATTCAGTCTTATTAGCTTATAAAATATATTACACTTTATTAAAAATTTCTGCATAGTTTATACAAGTATTAAAGTACTGTAAATGTAATAAATCCTGCTATATTTGCAGGTATGGTTTTAAGAGATGCAAAGCAGAAAGATTATTTTGACCCTCAACACTAAGTACACAACAGAAAAAAAAAGTGCTAGTATTTGTAAAACATGTTGTAGCCCTCATTGAATGCAGGGAAGATGGCTTTGTAAATGCATTAAGTGAATTTGTAATCATTTAGAATTAACCTTGACCCACAAGAGAACAAGACAACTCTGAGTGACTTCATGTCATGTCCTTCAAAAACAAAACAAAACAAAAAACCCAAACAATGGTGTTATTTTCAAACCAAATTACTCCAAAAATCTTAGACCTTTTGAGAACTGTCTTTTAAAATAATCTAATCAGGAATGATTTATTGATGATATACAGTATCAGCAATATAATCTTTCAAACTCAGTGTTAGTGCAATACTGAGAGTGCAGGTGACTGGTTTAATAAAACACACATACCCACAGAGTGTTCCTGTGATTCTGTTCCAAGGCTCTTGAAACTTCTGTGTAGTTAGCAGCTCCTTAATTGAATACAGCTATGTCGCAAGCATTCTCCCCAAGCTGTTTAGAATGCTAATGCCCACTGATTTATGATGTCAATTCACATTTTAAGACCCTAACATATAGGATAGATTCAGATTTACATTTTTATGACTTCTCCAAGGTGACACGTAAAAAAAATTGAATAAACTAACTTCACGTTTACACATTTTTTTTGTCAATTTAAGATAGTGCAGTTAAGTCACCATTGGTAAGTTATATGGCACATCATTCACTAAACCATATTTTAAGGGCATTTTATCTTGGTTCTGAGGCCTTCACATAACAGCTAAAAATGACCGAGTCTTTCTCAGTTGTCATAGTATATATATGGATGGATGGGAATTTTGGTAAGAGCCAATTGGTAACTGAAGAAAACCAGACCAGCATGGCAACCGAGAAGAGCCTCTCAGGTCGCCTTTGAGTTCAAATCATCTGTTTACAAATGGTTAAGACAATCTAAGCAAGCAGAACAGTATTGTCATGCTGTCTTTTCAACAACATTTGAATGGGCCATAGCAAATTCCAAATTTCAGAACTACGGAAGCTACTAACTACATTCAGAGGCAAAGCTGACTCAGAAATAAATTCTAGCTTTTCTCACACCCTCCCCGCCTTTTCTATATGGGCTAGAACACATCAATTGCTTGTCTCTACTAAAACAAGAATAATCCCTTGCATTCCAACTTGATTCTCCCCTGTGACATAGAAGAAGCATTGGAAGTCATGAACACATTGGTATGAAAGAGACTAAACCTTTCCAACACACAGGAAACCTGCCTTTCCCAAGAGCCGCTTCTATTCTTCTGTTCACATCACTCATACTTGCAAAGTGGAAAGCAGCCCAGTCAGCATGTTTTAACATTCGAAACAAAACTTAACAGTGCTACAAAAGGAAAGAAAAGAAACCCAAGTGCTAAGATAACATTTCTTTTCTCAACTTTCACCTACAGTTCCTTCCAGTTGGCTCACATAGGGCTGAGGGGGACTGACTTCTCAGGAGTACAGTCCCAACAACCTTTTAACATAGTGCCACTAAAGAAAGCTCCTGGCCTAGGGGCGTAGCTCAAGTGGTAGGGCGCTTGTCTAGCAAGCACAAGGCCCTGAGTTCAACCCCCAATGCCGCCAAATGGAAAAAGAAAGCTCCTCAACTTGCAGGCCTCATTGACATTTTCAAACAAGTCATGTATCCCTCTCCCAGTGAAGGTTGTGTTGGATCCTGAGTTAGGCTGGGATGAATCTCTTCTCCTCTATCCTTTGTGAAGGGACTCAAGGGGCATTTGGTTATATGCAATGGTTGCCTCTTCTCTCTTTTCTTCAAACTTATGACCAAAGCATTTCTGTGTGTGAATTATTTTAATTAGCATTTAGACTATGTTGCTCAAAAGCCTGCTTTTGAAAAACATCCCCCAATAATGGTGCTATTAATCTTCAATAGAAACACGAGTCATTATTTTCAGTTTGGTCTTCTCATAGGGTTCTCTTGATAGCGACAGAAAATGAATAGCTTTAGCAGTAAACTTTAGGGAATTTTTAAGCTACATGTATAAATCCCTGAACTGTGGTTTTTCTCTACTTTTTCCAAAAAAAATCTGTCCTCAAAATAAAGATATATGTGCTTTACACTAGATATATTTACAAAGAGTATAATCAGGTCTAATTGAACAAATCTCCTGAAGCTTTAGCAAATACTCATTTATGATATGTGTTAGGAACACAAAAAAAATATAGCCAGTTTGGCACCTTAGAGCTCACACAGAAGCATTTCATAGAAAAGCTATGTGACTGGTTTGATCTGGGAATACAAGTACCACTCAATGTTTCCCTGTTTGAAAGGAAAAAAAAAAAAGCTGTAAGCAGGTTGGGCGAAAGAAAGACCATCCAGACTCTGACCTCAAAGATCTTTTTGCTGCTACCAGGCAGCTATTTTGGTGGATTCCAATGCTTGATGATCCATACAGAAGACATAGCCTAGGGAAGGAAACACTAGGTTGGACGACTCCATTTGTAGCATGTTCTGCACAGCTGAGTATGGATGGAGACTCGAACACACTGTGTGACGAATGCACTGTTCAATGTGTGATGCCCCTCTGACAATCCCTGGCCAGGAGGAATCGCCAGTGGTTCCCCACAGCGCCCTTCTGCTTCTGCTCCATGCTTGGAAGCACAGCATGCACCCTTTGAACTGTCCGAAACCTGCGACATTAGCAGCTCTGGCTCACCTCCCAGTGGTGACAACGCCTTCTGCATCAGCTTGAGGCACAAAGATGGGCTATGGACTTGATCTAGATGAAGTGGTAGTCCAGGTCGTTGATGGGCAAGATGGAAAGTGCGGCAAATGGCAGAGCTGGTGTCTTGATGGCATACTTGGTTAACGGGCGACTGAGACCACCCTGCTTTCCCTTACAGAGCAGAAAATGGGATGGTGGGGCACAGAGGTATGGGCTGGATACTATAGTCAATATTTACTTTGACATTCTTTTGAGGAGTACACGGAGAAATTGACAATTGGTTAGTCTATATGTTCCCTTGTTCGCATTACATTAAACATATCTGTTAAAAGGGGTTTGCTTAGCAACCCCGGGAAAAAAAAAAGTTCACATTCTTTAGGTCTGACCCGTGGTAAGGAGAGGGAGGATTAGAGAATATCTACTACTGACCATATGGAAGTTTTGCATGATATAAATTCAGAGATCCAGACCAGCTGAATCAAAATTAAAATGTACATGTAAAAACGGAGTTAGATAATGGGAGGGAGGAGAGAGCCGATCGAGGTGAGCCAGGAGAACCGGAGCTGCTGAGACACTGAGGTGGGAGACGGAGGTGCTCAGACTAGCATGTGGCGTTTCCTATGGAGAGCAAGGTGGTCGGAACGGGAGAAGCTGCGGTCGCAGTCTGGACACTGGAAAGGTTTGATTCCAGTGTGCTTTCGGAAATGTCTCGTTAGTTCATCCGACCGAGCAAACTTCCACGTGCATCCTTCCCAGGTACACTTGTAGGGCTTTTCTCCTGCAAAGAAGAAACAAAAATATGCTTTTTAGAGACAGTGAAGTTTTTGAGCTAATCCTCTTGAAGTATACCACTTCCAAGATAAGATTCATCCATCAGTAACACAGTGTCTTCCCAAACCACCAGAGGCTGGACTCTTATCAGAGCTCATGCCTGAAATCTACTCAGGAGGCTAAGATTAGTAGTTCGAAGCCACCTCAGGCAGAAAAGTCCATGAATTTCTGGTTAACCAGCCAAAAGCTGGAAAGAGAGGCTTGGCTCAAGTGGTAGAGCACTAGACAAGCAGAAAGGGTAAGCAAGAGCAGGAGGCCTTGAGTTCAAGCCCCATAACTGGCACATACAACATGCACATAACAATAACAACAACAACCCATTTTAAGACAAGCATGAATCAAACTGATTCTTTGCCAAAAACAAAACAAAGCAAGGTAAAAGTTGAAGACAGGATTTTAAAAGTTCTTATTAAAGCATATTGCCTTGAAACCTCTTCTGAATATCAAAAGTAAACACATGGCGTCTGGTATTTGTGTCTGTCTCTAGAGCTCAGTTATATGCAGTCCTATGCACTTAGTAAATCTACATAGCAAAAGCTTGTGGGGTGTCTGTAACTATACATGCCAACGGTTTGCTGAAAATGTGAAGTCTCTATGAACTAAAACATTTGCTAGGGAATTTGGAATTCGTATTTTCTTGGTTGGTCAATGACAATGATGTCCAAACATAATGCTTTAGATGTACAAATATTGAGATATAGTTAATTCCTCCTGGCCAGAAGCCAGGATTCTAGCCTTCTTATCCGAGGAGGATATTTTAAGGTGTTTACAGAAAAATGAACACCCTTATAAATAAAATAGCTGTTCATGTTCATCTAAATGCTTCAAATTAGTAATATAGGTTGAACCACCCAATCTGAAGATCTGAAATCTACAGGGCTGCAAGGCCTGAAACTGAACCTGACACAATGCCACAAACGGGCAATTCTTCATGAGTCTCCTTTCCTGTACAAAATGACAAAAATGTAAAACCTATGGTATAAAATTACCTTCAGGTTATGCATGTTGTATACATATAACAAATTTTGTGTTTAGACATGAGTGCTACCTTCAAGACATGTCATGTTCATAGAAATTATTCCTCTGAAACCAAACATGTCATGTTCATAGAAATTATTCCTCTGAAACCAAAGAAATTCCTGGTCCCCAAAGCAGCTCAAATACGGGTAACTCTGCCTATCGTAGGTAATGGGTGTCACAAGTTCCTGCTTAATATTCCTTTTTCATTACAAACCAATTAATTAATTAAGCAATTTACTTGGATTTGCATGATTTGCTTGGTTGTACAGATTATATACAACAGTTATCTTTTTATTGTATCTGAACTGTCATCCAAATATTTGATGTCTTTAATTTTAGGTTGTGACGTGGAAACCTTTGACTCTTGAGTGCTCCAAGGATGCTTTGATTGACTGGCTTGCTATATTGTTGGTATCCTCCTCAGCTTCCTCGGCTTCCTCCCTGTGATGACTGAAAGAATTTATTTTCTATGTGGCCAGGTACTTCCCCTTCCTTCTCTCTAGTGATACCAGACTCAGAAAAAGGATCTACATTCTGAATTCGGGAAAATCACACACAGGTGAATGGCTGTTAAACAACGATTTCACATTGAAAGTTTTGAGGATAAGATGAGCCTGTCTGTATGCATTAATCATCAATACTGACTGCATCAGGCCATTTGCAACATTACTGTAGGATTTCCTATGGAAGCATGAAGGAGCACTGGGAACAATCAATTATGCGTTTTTCTCTACCTATGTGACAATGTCTAGATGACCTGACTGCTCCACCCTATATTCAATACCAATTAAGGAAGACTTTCTGGAATAAATACGGCATACAATGAAACAGGAGTTCTTTCAATCTTATATAAGATAGACATTACCCAAGTGTATTCACTTTTCTTCTATTTGAATTGCACTTATTTGCTCTATGTAAGAACTGTTGTTTATAACAGAGGTGCTGTCCCTTCCTCCTCCCTTCCTAGAGGACAGAACTACAAGGGGCCTAAACTGAGGGACCTAAACCTTTTCTTATGACAAAGGCAAACCCTTATCAAAACTTGATGACTCAGAGACATCCGTAGACCACCACAGTTACACAGTTTTGTTACACAGTTGAGTACTCCTATGCAAATGCTTGGAACCAGGAGTGTTGTTTTAGGTCTCAGAGTTTTTCACATTTGGGGCTACCTACACAGATGTTCACTAGTCCCTAATCTGGAAATCTCAAATCCAAAGCCTTCTTACTGTCATGTTAGTAGTCAAGAAGTTTCACAAGGGTGAGTCCAATCAAGGTGCATATGTAACATGTATCTGGGTGTGTCAAAATGAAATAAATCCCACATCCAACTAACTGATGCTACAAAAAAGAAAAATGACTCATATGTCAGAGCACTTTGGATTTTGAGATTACAGATGTTTAATATCTAATAACTCTTTCAAGCTGGAACTGGTGACTGCAGCATTCCATAGTGGCACTCCTTAGGACAGATGAAGTGAGGCTTGGCACTTTTCCTACCTGTATGTGTTCTTCTGTGTGCTTTCAAGTGGGAGCTCTTAGTGTACACTTTGTTGCACCCATCATAATCACATCTATGTATCCTTCGCTTCCTTTGTGTATCTGGGGATTCCACAGGTAAAGGTCTCTTCCCAGGCTGCACGATGACTGAAGGGTGATTCCTATGAAAGCCAAAGGTAAATAGAACATGTTGAGCAAAGGGGCTTCCTTTTTTTCAGTCTACTGAAAGCATTCACAACATAAGGCAAAACAAACACACACACACACACATACACATACAAAAACCCCAAAAAATAAAAAGAAACTAGCTGATCAACCCAAGAAGCACTGCTATATCCATTCAACAAACACGTAGTGAGCACCTACCATGAGCCAGGCACTGTGCTTGGCACCGGGACACAAAGATGAATAAAAACAGGGTTCCTGCCCTCGAGGAGCTCACAGTCTAGGGGGAGACAGACATGGAGATAAGTAATGACAGCAAGAAGGGGTCGGGGCTATGCTAGAGGGAGGTGCCATGTGTTGGGCAGATGCTTTCCCACAGTAAAAGTAGGTCCGTCTGGACAATTTTGTGGTACTAGGCAGTGTGGAAGAGTACTCCAATTCCCACAGGCCGTACTGATTTTCATTACTCTTTAAGAAAAAATGAAAAAGGTCATATTCCTACATCTCAGGTGACCAGATTGTTGAGTAAATCTATCTTTTTATCCTTCACATAACTAGTCTTTCATTTGTCTCTTAAAAAAAGACTGCCAATTCACATTTAGTTTTCAAATGCTGGCTCTTCCAAAGAAAAGTTGGCATTTTTTTGTCTTCATGAACACAAACTTTTACTGCCATTAAACTGTTCCTGCATGAAGAAGAGCTGCAGAGCAGTTTAGTAGGAGGCCACAGAGGACACCAGTCCTGCTATGCACGGTTAACACAAACACCGTCTCAGAAAGGGAGGTGATAGAAAAAGATGAAGGGGTAAGCTGGGAAATGTCTGCAGCGTTTTCTCACGCTTCTCCTGATTAACGTGCATCACTAAAAACGTCTAATCCACTGGTCATTCACTTTCCCGATGAATCGCTTGGTAGGGCAGGTGACCTCAAACTTATTCTGGAAAGACATCTTTCTCTTTCATTTTCAATCTATAGCTGCTAAGATGGCCCCATTTTTATGTATGTTTTCTAAAAATGTGTAGGGGAGAAAAGATTGACAAAAAGACAAAAAAAATGATGAGGGTAAAGCTTGTAAAAACAATAAATAAACAAAACTTAGCTCTGATAACCAAAAGGGAGTCCCTGGAATGAAAACTTTTCTTGGTTGGGAGGGGGGAGGGGGGAAAGGGTCTTGCTAAGAATATGAATACACATCCTTAGTGACTTTTTCCAGACAATGCTAAGAAATAAGGAACTAAATACTAGGTAAGCCTATGCTATGTGAATTTACTTACTTGTCACACTCTTACTATTAGCACTGACTGTCAGTTTTATCTAGCACTGACTGTCAGTTTTATCTATCAGCATGTTCAGAAAAGTAAACATGAAGCAGTGTGTAGGTGAGGTACAAGGATATGTATGACTAGAAATCTTTCCCAATTATTGAATGTTGTAGACTGAGAATCTAATCACTTCAGTGCAGTCATTATGACTGCCTTTTCCAGCTGTGTATTTTCTACATATAAAGATCTGTGGGCTCCAACTTTAAATCCTGGGTTGGTATACATCTTCTCTGTGATCCTGGGGCTGGTACACTAAACTCTCTGTACCTCAGTTTCCGCTCTATAAACGGAGAATGATAATGTTACCTTAAGTGGTTACAGGAACTGGTAACATTCTGTCAGTTACTGAGGGCAAGTACCTGAAAAGCATCCGAGAGCACTATTTGTTGAGAGGTAAATTACTATGTAATTTTTCAAGGTTCAGAAATGCTCTTTCCATTTGGAACCCGGCACCCTGCAGCAGTTAAACTTTCATGTGGAGTTTTTGAGCAGTGATTCAGAGCCACTTTGGGGAGACTCTACTCAGATGAGCATCTATCTACCTGGAAAGGTAGCAACACGGTGAGGCCAGGCAGCAGCCCTGTTTCTACAGATCAAGATGTTGGCTCAGGCTGGGGCTCATTAGAGGTAAGGGTCTTGGGATTGTCACATGTTTTGTCATCTCACTTTTCATTTTTAAAGACATAATTTGGAATCATTATAACCAAGAGATTAAATCCCCAGACAGTGTCTTAAGTTAAACTTGCTACTCCTAAGTTTGCTGCTACTATACCCACACTAAACAGGGAAACCTGATCCTTTTGTTCTAGATACAGCTGCACACACATAAATACACAACAGAAGACACCTGATATACCTTGGCATAATATTCCTAAACTCAACTAAAGGATCAAGCCAATGTACTTCAAAGTCGGCCTCTGGGTAGGAGGTTTCCTAGGTGAGGACTACTGGCCTGGCCTTGCTGCTATGGCCCTGGCAGTGTCAAGCTCCTTCCTGGATAGCTGGTTTCCTATAAAGCTGCTAGGCCCACTCCAAGTTGGTACTTAATGACATCCTTGAGAAAATGACTTAAAACAGCACATGTCCCCGTTGTGGCTAATCTGTTGCATTTTTCTGAGAAGTAAAGTGCATTTTTTAGGTCAGCCTTAAAATAAACACATTATTCATTAAGCATTAAAAGCCACCAAGCATGAGATCACCAAAGGAGCATTACTTAAAACACAGAGAAAACACTTTTCTCGTAAGGATATTCAGAGGATGGGATATTGCCTCCAATATTGTTGTGTAATGCTTTACACTGTCATTCACAGCGACCTAGATTCTAAGCAAATACTTTTCCAGTCAATGGGATCCCTTCCTAACTAGGCTTTCTTTAGTGTCAGAGCATCTTGTTCATCATCGGGAAAGAAACAATCACAAGTGCACATCCTGTTGCCAGTGGACACCCTTCATCAACACAAGAGCTGCAAGAAGTGTCTGACTGGGAGTCTCCATGCTGCTTTTCCTTTTGCCTGAGAGCATGAGCAGATGCAATCAGTTAGCCACAGAAAAGATGGAGGAGTGAGCACTCATGGAGAAGCAGATCAAACTCAGGTCCCCTCAGCTACAGTGTGACTGTGACAACAACCCAATTCAGTTCTTTATTTACTCTCACTCCCACATTCTTCAGCGGTGTTGACTTGTGAGGGAGAGAGGTGGAGAAGATGAAGTGGAAAGGTGGCTAGAACCTTTATTCAACTTGAGAAAAGGTGGTATGGGGGTAAGAGCTGGGTGAGAGGCCCTGTGGGGGTGTGGCCACAGCACCCAATGGTTAGAACATCACATGTCGTGAGATTACAACAATCATTACAATTGCACGATGGAAGCCAGCAGCATATTGTGGAATGCAGAGCCAGGATCCAAGGGCTATCTTCCCACCTACTGCAAGCCTAGCCTCCAGTGTCACCACTAGGAGAACCACAGTGGCCAGCCACATGCGTGGCCCCAGCCCATCACAGCACCTGCTTGGGTGCTGACTGATGCAATATAACCTGTCTCCCAGAAGGCACTTCTACAGGAGGGTGCCCACACGGAGGGCAGGTATAAGTAAGGATAAAGAGTTCTTGTAGGGCTGCACTTTGGAGCTCTGCATGGGCAACCTTCTGTTACCATCCACGTGACTGGCCTGAAGACTTTGATTAAAGACAGTCGGCACCACAGGCGCAGCGACAGTAAAGTGACAGCTGTAGGTGCACGTGATACAATCCAAGCTTCCATGGCACATCTAGACACCAGTGTCACTTCGTATGTGGCAAAACGACATGTGCCCAGCCGAAGGACGCAAAAAAGTCCACGATCTCTGTGCAACATGGAACATCAGTGGTGGCTAATTCACTGAAGTGGACGTAACGCTGCTGAGAGATTTGTCTGTGCAACAGAAAGCTCATTGTTTGTGGAGATTCTCCCATCTTGGCCAGAGGTAGTGGGCCTGCCCCTTTCCCCTCCCCCAGTGGCTGCCATCTACCGCGGGGCAGTCCCAGTCATCCCAGCACGTAACACACTTGGAGATCTTCTGTTCCAGGTCCTCGGGTACACTCTACTGTGCAAATGCCCGGGACAACTAAGTATACTTACTCTTGCAACAGTGCTTGCGGGGGGGACACTGAGTTCATTAAAGGGGGTGACATTTCTTCAGGAGGATAGTAATCTGTCCTCTGTGGCTCCATCCCAGGTTCTATTTTAATTTTTTTCTGTAATATAGGCTTCTCATAGGACTCGATGACAGGTACTAAAAATTTAAAAAAAACAAACAGAAAAGTCACTATGTGCAATGTGCTGATTTTAGCTCTAAAATTAAGCTCATCATACAGCTCCTACCTATTACAGTGAATGTGTACTCACTTTTGGCAAGATTATAGCAAGAACCAGTCTGTGAGGGAGTCTCCTTTCTTCTGCTTGTTACTTTTCTCAAGCTCACTACTTGGCTAATTAGAGGCCAACATAGTATGTCCTGGACTTCTAAGACACAAGAAATGATTCTTCCTTACAAATTTGGTTTCTCTTTTAACCCCAAGATCTTCTGCCTGTGACCAGTTGGCAAGCAAGTTGACCTTTAAGAACCCTTAGTTATTATTAAAAAGTATTAGTGTCAAGCACTCATGGCTCACACCTGTAATCCTAGCTGCTCAGGAGGCTGAGATCTGAGGATTGCAGTTCAAAGCCAGCCCAGGCAGGAAAATCCACCTGACTCTTATCTCCCGTAAACTGCTCAGAAAAAGCTGGAAGTGGCTCTGAGGCTCCAGTGATAGAACCAGTGCCCAGGGGCTTGGCCCCAGGACCACCCCAAGAAGATATTTGCGAGATTCCTCTTGTACTCAAAACCATGTTGGTATTTGCCAAATCAAAACACAGAGCCAGAAGACTGAGCATGCTCAGCAGACTGAGCTTATAAGCACAAAGCCCTGGGTCCCACCCCGACAACCGCAATCCTATCAACCAATAGATCAATCGATCGATGGATCACAATCAAAGTCAAGATTCTTTCTAAAGTTGAAAACGACACAACAAAAGTAACTGTCTCCAGGTAGTAGCCATTTTGGAATCTCTTCCATTATTCATACTTCAAAACCCAACCCAACAAGAAAGTCAGTGCCATGAGTGTGGATTTACCTTGCATGCTACTGTTTGAATTTTCCATCTCCTCCGACAAGGAGACCATGAGTGGCTGCTGGATGTGGCTGGTATACATGAAGGGGACAGGCTGGACCACGACCGGCTGGATGACAGGCAGGATGCCCGGGCTCCGGATCCCATGCCGTGAGAGGGCCGCGGCCATCACGGGCGGCATGGAGAGCGGCACCGGGAAGGGCTGCACACCTGGAGAAGGAGGTGAGTATTTCTTAATGGGTGGGCTGGAGGATGGCATGCTCAACCCAGGTGATGCTCTCCGGTGTGAGGATGGGAACTTCAGCGAGGAAGGAGAACTTCCCGCGGAGGGAGGTGAACCCCGCTTGTTCACGGTGAGGTCCACCGGCTCCACCTGTATTCCATGTGTCGTCAGGCCTTCTGGGGTCTGGAAGAACTTGTCCGGTAGCGGCGTGGAGTAAATGACCCCGTATTTGTTGGGCTTTATGGACTCCATGTAATTAGATGGGTAGGACTATTGGAAAGGAAAAAGAGAAAGGGAGGAATGACCAAATGAGAAATGCATTTCCTCAAAACATGAACCGAGACAAAAAATAGAAACTTTTAATTACACGGGCTTTCAAAATCAGTTTGGATTTAGAAAGATATTTTATCCCCCAAAAGGCCATGAGAGAGATGATCCAGGAACCATTAGAATTAAGGGGAATCTTGGTTCTTGGGTCACAGGGAAAATCTAAAACCCCCACTCTATAATTTCCATGTCCAACATAAAGGTTGGGACCTGGAAAAGTTTCAAGCGAGTTATGTTACAGGGCTGTGGCTTTACCAGTAAGAGTCCTTGTTCAGATATCACTAGGCACCGGCCAAGTCACAGCAGCCTGGCTGCCTTTCTAACTAACAAGATTTTGACTGGTAGGAAGAGTTCTCTAACATTAGCATCTTTAACCCAGGCAGGACAGATAAAGGCTTGTGGATAAAGAAGGTAAATGGGCTACATGGTATGTTTTAGATGAATTTATGTTGGCCATCCATTCCTGCCGCCGAGTCTGCTTTCAGACAAACCAGTGCCAGTCAAACTGGTTTGCCTATGTCCAGAAGGCCCCAACTTTTATGATTTGGAGGCAATGCCAATGGATACTGCACGGATGCACTTTTCATTTCTGAGCCTCCCTGGCTTCCCAGGGTGGCCACTCTCATGTATCACAGTAATTCTGAGGCATCAGGGGACTTGCCTGCGACTGCTTCTGGATCACACCCTTTTCTCTCTGGGTCTGAAGGGCTGAATCTCCATCTGGCTATGCATCCAGATCGTCTGCTCTTACATTCCACATGCTTAATCTCTATCGCAGGGCTATAGAGCCTCAGAGTAGGCAACCACGTAGGGATACTTTTCTTCAACTTTTATCTAGCTTCCACACAGGCTCCTTAGCCAAAAAACTCATGTGCTTTGATTTCCTCCATCTTTTAAAATCCAGATCCCTGTAATCTATATAACCTCCAAGCAAGAACAGTCAGTGACTCACACAGCTCAACTACATCTTGTTGGGATACCCCAAGCTTACTCCGAACACACATTACTTTAAACTAAGTATGTTTATTTGAGTATGTTGAAGGAAAAAGTCTTTTGTTTTTGAGAAGAAAAAAACCAGTAGTGATACAAAGCTCCTTTAAAGAATTGTTTTATGTTTTTTAAAAAGGAATTCTACAAAGGGCAAGAAAAGAAGCTATATATTCTAAGTGCAAGTACTTGAGGCTGGGGTGTAAACGTGTCAGCATGGTCCCGAATACCCACCTGGAAGGCTAGGAGGTTAAAATGACAGCTAGATGAAATGAGATAACGAATGTAATGAGCTTAACATAATACTTGACCCACAGGGCTGTCCTGAGTCCCCTTCTGTCCCTTATATAAGAAATAACACTGTGGGCAGTGTCTGTGTGTGCTCAGAGTCACCTGCGCATCATGGCCTTAGGAACATGAGGGAGGGAAGAGCAGAAGTTCTGGAACTAGCAAATAGGAGGCAGCCTTGTTCTGATTCTCCAAGAGGTAACCTCTCCCTCATTGTCATCCCTATTCTTCTAGGCCTCTCATGACCTAGATTTTAAGGCCAATGGTAACTGGCAGTTAAACAGAGGGCAAAATGAGGACATACTTTCATTGCTGTCATTCATGGCCAGATTTTTGTATCTGTGGCCAGAGTTTAAAGCAAGTAGGAATTCAGAACCTAGATTTGCAAATTTAATAATATACTCTTTTCTTATGCCATCAGGGGGAAAAAAGGCACACATAAGCTAAGTCTTACACACGTGATGCATAGTTTACTTAGATGATAGCTGGCTCTTAAATGAAAACTCCCCTATATTGGAAGGGTATTATATTTAGTTATTTTTGGGGTCCGGTCGTGGGGCCTGAACTCTGGGCCTGGGCTCTGTCCCTCAGCTCTTCAGCTGAAGGCTAGCGCTCTACCACTTGAGCCACAGCACCACTTCCAGCTCTTTTTTCTTTTTGCTTATGTGGTGCTGGGAAATTGAATCCAGGGCCTCGTGCATGCAAGGCAAGCACTCTACCACTGAGCCACCTTCCCAGCCCCTGGAAGGGTATATATTTATTAAGGTATCCAGTGAAGCACAGGGAGATACATTTGGACAGATACCCAATTGGGAGTGTGTAATTAGCTGTTTCCAAACTAAGCGCCACATTACAGGGTGTAGAAATGTCCTTCCAACTAGCATACTGGTGAATTCCAGAACCTCCTTGAAGGGGCATTATTTATTTGGGCAGAGCACACAAGCCACTGCAATGGCTGGCAACAATTTGGTACTCCACAGTGTGAAAGGGTACCAGGATCCGTGTCTGTGTGAGCATTTATGTGTGTGTGTGTGTGTTGGTTGGGTGAGCAATTTCTATTTCCAATAGAAAATGCAAATAAGCTCTAAGTCCAAATCAGAGGCAAGAGTTGATAAAGAGTCTTCTCTAGTCATGGATGGAACAGCCAATGCCCTCATGCTCTGGAACAAAGCACAGGCCGGGCCCTGGTGGCTCACATCTGTAATCCTAGCTACCGAGGTGGCTGAGATCTGAGGTTCTAGGTTCAAAGTAGCTCCGGGCAGGAAAGTCCATGAGACTCTTCTCTCTAGGCAACTACCAAAAAGTCAGAGATGGAGCTGTGGCTCAAAGTGGTAGAGTGCTAGTCTTGAGCATAAAGTTCTGGGACAGCATTCAGATTCCAAGTTCAAGCACCAGAACCGGCAAAATAAAAGCACAGTGTCCAAGACAGGACACTAGTAAGGGTTTACCTGCCCTACCATGGGAATTTTATTTAGGAAACTTCATTCTTTCTGTTGTGAGTATATATGAGATGTGCATCTTTCCCTGCCCCCCCCCCCCAGTAGGTGCTTCTCATTGGAATGGGGGTGGTGAGGGAGGAGATGGCAGAGGTGCTCAGTAAACCCTCAATGAATGCCTCACAAGTTCTCAACATGGCTGCACTCTGGAGCAGGCTAGAAATATATCTTCTACATCTTGAAAAGTGATGAGGAAAAAGACTAGAGATTTGGGTAATTTCTAAGGTGTATAAACTCTCATACTAAAGTAAGAATTTCCATAGTTTCTCATTACCTTAGGAAGGATTTTGGAGACGGTACCAAAACAAGACACTGCTTAAGTGGGTGGGGTGACTAACTTGGGAAGTCTCTACTTGACTACTCATTAAAAGGAAAAAAAAGGAGCTACAAAGAACTGGAGACTCTAGAATCCTCAGACCCAAGGGGCCCCAGGAACAGGAAGTCAGTGCCCAGGCCCCTCCCAGCAAACAAAAACACCTGGCCCTGAGAAACCCTGAGAAGCTGTTAGGGGTTTCCAGAGGAAATGACTATTTTAAGTATTTCTCTTTCACAGGTCCTTTAGATAACAAGATCCACAAAAAAATAAAAACAAAGGCTTTCTCCCAAAAGCCAATCTTCGATACATAGGAATAGAAAGGACATTTTCTAAAATCCTGGAGGATTTTTGGGTTGTTTTACAATTTGTTTTCTGACATCCTAAATCCAATCCTTTTATATTTTCAGGCTTTTTTAAGAACAGGTAAAACCACTTTACATACAAGCCATTTCATAATTTATAACCTTATGGCAGGAAGTTTCAGGGAGGGTGGGGAGGATGCATAGCCAGGCTCCGGGGCACAGCCTGGTGGGAGAGTCTTCTCTCATCCCTCAGGGTTTGACAGAGTGAAGTATGAAGGCTTATATTTTAGTAATGGATAAATGGCATTTCCTCACTTTCTCTGAGCTATGACAAAATACAAACTACGAAGGCTATCTGCTGGGCTCTCTCCTTTTAAAAAGTGGGTAGGGAAAAGCTGTCATCAGTATATTTATGTGTGGGATTAAAAAAAAAGTCTCATATGGCTGGGTGTGGTGGTACAAGCCTGTAATCCCAGCTATGCAGGAAGCAGACATAGGGGGATCACTGTCCCAGACCACGGGCAAAAAAAGTAACTACAGCAAAAAGAGATGTGGATGTGGCCCAAGTGATAAATAAAACACAAGCTTAAGGCTCAGTGTTCACACCCCAGCTTCTTGTGCCCTCTGAATAGTCAGAGTGACATTGAAAAGAGCAATATATTAGATTCAACATACTTTGCCTATGAATAAGGAAGACAAAATTTGAAGACTTAAGACTGAAAACCAAAACTCTGTAATTTTTTTAAAAAGTAAAAAAAAAAATTACAATTACAATTCCCTATTCCTCAAATGTTTCAGTTAACTAAGGTTTCACTGAGCTAAGAGAAAAATGGCTTTCCCTCAAAAGGGCTGGCATTAACTTTTGGTGAAATTATCCAATCAAATTTGGTAAGCGTCATCGAAGGGAGAGAGGGAGCAAAGAAATCATGGACCTCAACAACTCTTCTCCGTCATTTTAATTTCATGTATCACTCCAGCTAACAACATTACAAGTTTAGGTTACTTCCAGTTCCTCTTACTTCCTATTCTTTGCAGCTAAGTGCATTTCTGTGCACTTAATTATTTCATACCAATTTAGTAATGGGGATCTGCATTTTAGCTTGAAATTAGGCTCTTGAGCTCTCTCTTCATGCTTGATTAAATGCACTGGAAGCAGAGTGCAGAGTGAAATGCGTCATCCATGGCTCTGCACCCTTCATAAAATTCATTATATTCTCTGGTACTGAAAACCTATTCACATTTCAAAGATGTAATTGGGGATTTAAAACAAACAAACAAACACAACAACAAAAAAACCTTCGTTTTCCTCCAAGATGATCAGGCAATAGTTGGGAAGAAAGGGGTGGAAGAATGCCATCTTGGGGTTGACATGAGAAGGAAATCTAGTTTTTTGATTAATATGCCTCGCTAAGCTACTCTCAAATGCAGATATGCGCTTTATCCAGTGATCCTGCCATAATAATGTACGTGTTACTTGCTGAAAGACAACTCTGATTTAACCTTTCCTTACAGACACGCTGGTCGGAACTTCACGGGCTCAGCCACATCTATGGCAACTCAGTCCAACGGCCTCTGAGTAACCCCCCAAGTCTTTTTTTGGCAAGAACCTCTGCAGCCAAAGTGTATGAATGACCTAAGTTTGCAAATGTGTCATCCCTAACCTTCAGATCCAAAGCCCAGGCCCAGTCATTCCCCTGGTGAGTATTTTCCAGTTCCATGGAAGAAAGACGCAAGAGAGAACAGGGCTTGTTGTTATTCGGTATTATAAGCCAGATGCCCTCACATCCTCACCCAGCCTGCTTGGAGGCCAGACACTTGTTTGACACTAGTCCTTCCTCCGGGCACTGGTGCTGGGCCCACACGAACACCTGGGTCATTACTAGGTCCTTGGTGGCCCAACTGCACCTAGAAGCCCAGCTCAGGGGGGCTCAGCTTAGCACCGAGGTTGTTGAAAAGGAAAATGAGCATGGCACCTTCCAACTCCAGGCAAAAGGAGACTGTCTTCACAGCCAAGTTCTGTCACTCCTCAGCTTCTCCTTATTTACTCACAACCCCTGGTAGATGTTAATAGTTTTGAAGCAAATCCCTTTATTCAGGCCCAGACAAAAAGGGGAAAAAAAAGAAAAAGAACAAACGGATGGAAGTATTCTGCACATCTACTTCAGTCATGGCCAGCCAGAGTTCCCTGAGGTCTGAGTTCTCAGCTGATTGTGTCTTGGGGGTGTGGGAAAGCCTGGGTTTCATTGGTCAAGGGACAATGCAGTTGCTGGGAGGGTAGATACACAGCATTCGTTTATTACCTGGACTTCAAAAAAGTCAAATAACAAGGGAACTTCAGAGCCCAACACAACACACAATGTTGTCACTAAAGGGTTTCAATTTTGGAGGACTTACCACCGAGACAGGGTCCAAGGCCTCCTGCTTGACAGGGACTGGATCAAACATGAGCATTCTTTTCGGTAAGCCTTCTAGGGTGCTCTGGTGGTTGTGGCCTAGAAAACAAAACAAGGTGTCCATCTAAGTCCTGAGGCCACATGAGGTATGAATTAGCAAACACGAATATCCTGTCCTTTCCAGAACTGTTTCCCTTACCTACAAAAGATGCCAGATTATAGAATTAAAACCAGGCACCTTGGTCAGGGTCTTGAGAACCAAATGATTTTCTAACCCCAATACATAAACCCTGATATTTCTGGTACAGTGTGTACAGTCCAGCCCCTTGTGGCCAGAGAGCTTGCTCAAAATTGTGGTACAACTCGATAGAAGCAGCATTATACCTGGTGGTTAAACGCCCTGCGTTTCCCCTTACATTCATCATGGAGAAACTGGGGAGACATGGATGACAAGCAAAAAGAAAACACAGAAGCCACCATATCATTAACACCCCCTTTTTTCAGTATACTCATTTCCCTTAATGTCTTTCAATTAGAATTCCACACCAAAGTCGCCATGCCAAGGTGTGAAGAGATCGGTTTAACGTCCCCCTGTTTATTGTACACACAGCTTGGTCCCAAATTTTCACCACTGCAAACAGCAAAGATCTGTGTGCTTGTAGCCTCCTGCATTTCCTTCATAACGGAGGTTGTACGTGTATGTGCACGCATGTGTGGCGTGGGGGCACTGGAGCTGGAGCTATTTTACTCAAAGCTGGTGCTTTTGAGCCACACTTTCATTTTTCATCTATTTACCCGGCTAACTGGAGATAAAAGTCTCACAGACTTTCCTGCCTGGGCTGGCTTTAAACTGCCCTACTTAGATCTCAGCCTCCTGAGAAGCTAGAATTATTGGAATGAACCACCAACACACCGCTCCTTCCTTAATTTTTAAGGTAAACTTTCTGAAGACTTCTTGGGTGAGAGGCATACACACACATATATATGTATGTATGCATGTGTCAATGTACATACATATGTACATACACACATGGTAGTGGTGGTGCGGGAGACACATTAAGCATACTCTACCACTGAGCCACACCCCGGCTTTTCCAAAACATTTTGGTCTCAAAATGGTCATTTTAAATTTAACTGAGGTTGAATTCTTTTCACCTTAATTTATATTTATGACTTTGAGAAATGCTTATTCTTGAAGTGTCCCTCCACTAGCACTTTTTATATGATTATTAACTTGTTTTCACAGCTCTTAGAAAATTACTCTAGTAGATGGGCGGAGTCCTCCCCCTTGGTGGACTCACACCAGTTCATTTCCAATGAACAGCGAGTCCACGGCCGCCCCTCAGGGCATGTATTCAACAAGGTTCAGATCTTCAGCAACTGGCTTCAGGTACTTACTTTGCAATTTTGTTAACAGAGTTTTGGCCTGAGGCAAAGTTTTTATCAACCAGGCTCCGTAGAGTGCTGTAACTTCTAGACTGAGCTCTACCTAATGAAGCTGAAGTCCCTACTCCTAATTGTTTCTGGTATTCCAGTACTAAAACCCCTCCCCCCACAGCTTCCAGATACAAATCTTCCCGGGTATGTTTTCTATGTCTTATGCTAAGGTACCTTCAGGAAGTATTGTGAGTACCATGTGGTTCCTGAGAATTTCATCCACAGCTCAACGTGAAGGCCCTGACTTCAAAATCACACTTCTCTATATAGCAGGCCGCATTATAATCTGCAAGCACAATACCAGGCTGCTCAAATCCATGGTGTTGTATCCAACACAGTGAAAAATGGATGATTTCAGAAGGAAGGATGAAAACCCTTTTGTATCTCCGGATTACTAAGCACTCCCAGCCTAGCAGCTGCACTGACAGCCTTGGCTACAGGGACTGAGTCCCAGATTGGTGTGGGACAATCAACAAGAAAGGTAAGAGTTCCTGCTTATTATAAACAAGAGTTGGGAGATTTGGTCAGATAACCTTCCAGCCAGAGACCTACACAGACCAGCGAGACCGCAGCCTCCCACCAACACTTCCTACTCCTACAAACTGAATTTGCTCTCACAGATTTGTGATAACCACTCAAGTTATCTTGATGTGAATCTTTCTAAATAAAAGCACAGTCATTCTCTTGAACCTTGGTCTTAAGACTTTCCAGACTGTAACCAACTGGCCATGGGCCACACAGATGCCTCTACCTTACCTGCTTCTGAAGGTTTTATGATGATTAAATCAGATATTAAAAGCAAAACCAGCTGGGCTTCAATGGCTCATGCCTGTAATCCTAACTACTCAGGAGGCTGAGATCTGAGGATCATGGTTCAAAACCAGCTCCAGGAAGGAAAGTCTGCGAGACTCTTATCTCCAACTAACCATCCAAGAACTGGAAATAGAGCTGTGGCTAAAATGGTAGACAAACTTTGAGCAGAAAAGCTTAGGGACAAGGCCCAGGTCCTGAATTCAAGTCCTAGGACTGGCACACAAGAAAAGAAAAAAAAGAAAAAAGGAAAAAAGAAAGAAAGAAAGAAAGGAGGTTGGGGAAATGAAAGGTAGAAAGGATCTCAATATTCAGGAAGAGAACCAAACACAAACATTAATCATGTTTTATTTAGCTTCAAAAATCATCTATGTCCTAACATATCAAAGACTTGTTACTGTTCATGAGTTCTGGAATCAGAGAATGAGAGCAATATCTGTAATAGCAAAATGCCTTTCACAGAACTGAAAAATAGCCTTAAGTTCCGGAAGAATGAAGGTCCATAAACTTGATGGCTTTTGTTACCAGAGGGCAGCGCCATACCCTGGGAATATTTATCGTAATTTAAAAAGAATTTTAAACCACAAATGCTGTAGAAATCGATTACACAACTCTGGCAAGCAATCAGTAGAACCAGTAGGTGGCGCACTAAAACAGATATTAGCGATGAGGACACAGACCTTAGATCCCAGTTTATCTCAGAGTTTTAAAAAACCAGTATCTGTTTCAGCCAGGCTGAGGAATTCTGTTGGCCACTTTTGTGCGATATCACAGAGATGAAGAGGTCTCAAGGGGGTTCTATTTTTTTCGTACTATTTTCCAATCATAAATATATTTACACTTTAGCTCTATATAGCTTAGAAACATTCTAGAGCTAACTTATCTCAGTATAACAAAAAGCATTTAAAATGAGCTAGAAGGGGGGAAAAGGAAAAAACAACTTCTGAGTTACTGAGGTGCTTAAGAATAAAAATATAAGAATATCACCACTGCCAGAATTGCTTCTTATACCTGTACTATGTTCTTTCGCTGGGATAGCCCATGAAACTTGCTTTTTCTCCAATAAAGAAATGGATGTCTCTTACATCCCTCCCCCACCTCCACTTCTGACTTTAGGTGTCAAAGTAAGGGTCAGATTTCTGTGAAAATGCAGAACAGTGTGATTATACATTAAAAGCATGGCGAGTCATATACATGACTTCCAGGAAAGTTCTGCTTCTGAGTTCTATCCAGCTGTCTGTGAGGCCCAACAGCACAGCTGTTTCAGAGGGAAAGGGGACCAATGAGCTGCTGCAGAGTCAAAGAAGAGGTGGGAGGGGAAAAAGAGAAAGACAGAGTGGGGGCAGAGTCCCCCTCCTTTCGGTTAAAGCAGGGCTAGCCTAGCCTGACAGATCTCCCTTCATGTCCTAACTCTTGATTCTAAAAAGGTCCTGGTATTATCTTCTCCCAAGTCAGCCTGACCCCTATGGCTCCCAATTATCTGCATCCCTCAAAGCAAACCTTTGTTTCCTAGCAGACCCGGGCCAGGTGTACAGAGAACAGCACCATTAAGCCAGCAGCCATGAGCAAGTGCACTTTTCCCCTCTCCCAAGTGTTTCCCTTCCCTTACCCTTTTCTCCCCAAACAACCTGTGTGTGTGTGTGTGTGTGTTTCTTGGCCAGAAGTAGGGTCCAGGCAGGCAAGCAACCTCCCTGTAGCTAAACTTCCTTCTGAGAAACCTTCCTTCTTCATTACCCACTTCTTTCTACAAGCTCTTCAAAAGCTCCCGATAGGCCAAGCATTATTTAATACCATTTTCTCTGGCCAGGCGCATGAGGGGACAGGCCACTCATATGAGCCGGCATCTGTCTTAGAGCTAGACGGTTTTATTCAAGAGAGCTTGGTGAGTGCCCCTACATGGATGTGCCACACCACCCATTCACCTACCTTAAGTCTTCTTTTCGTTGGCTTTGAAAGGAAAAAAAAAAAACCAAAACTTCCACGGAATATTTCCTAATCTTTGCCCCTCATAAATTCAGATGACTTTGCACTCATGAGTTTTGTAAAATGGTAGAAGTTACTTATTTTGTTTCATCTGAAAATCTAATGAGCCAGTGAGCAAGCGCTCTGCCCTCTCCTGTCCCGGGTGAACAAGCCACCCAATTTTACTTTCCTGCCTCCACCCATCTGCTCCACCCCATGGAGAGTTGCCAGGGCGAGTCCAACTTGTCCAAACAGGACATGGCTTCAGATAAGATTCTGCCCACACCCTGTACTGCAGAAAGACCAAGTGAAGCAATTGATTCTGCATGTAAATAGTAAGGACAGGTGCAAAGGTAACCACCAAGCCACCCCCTCCCCCTCCCCTGTCCCACATTTCCAGACTGGGGGTGCCCAGCAGAGCAAGAGTGGGGAAACTCAAAGCCGCAGTGTGCTGGAGTTAACTCAAGTTCAAGGGCATCTAGGGAGTGAGTGACCATCCACAACCTCCTCCTTCAAAGAAATGTTTAGCAAACTCAGTCATTTCCCCAACCAAGATCACACACTTGTTTTCCTCTCTTAATGTCCAGTGACAATTTTGTTGTTTTCATTTTAAGGGCAGGCAACCCAAGAGAAATTGGGGGAAAAAAATACCCACAATGTTTAATCCGGCTGTGTACACGGATCACCAGGCCTCGCCTAAGCCGCCCCTCCCAGGGAACAGGGAGGCGTTATATAATCAAATCCAGAAAGGCTGCAGGGAAGGCCACGTGGCCTCTCATCCCCCTCTCCTTTCCTGGGGTGCCCTCCCTATCACTGGAGACCCACCCCACTCCACCCTGCAGGGCCTTGGCCCAGGGGGCCCCACCCTGCAGGCCGTGGGAGGCTGGGCG